TCAGTCAGTCAGTCAGATGCAACGTAGAACTTTGTACATAAGTACATCAGTTCATGTTGCCATACCACATCAGCACAGAGAAGTAATCGTCAATTCAAATCCAATAGTAGAAGAGGTAGTAAGGGAATTAGAAATAATCGGAGAGGTTAGGATTAGAAGATACTATTCAAGAAGTATGATTCAGTGAGATAAGTTTAGAGAGTCGAAACTAGAGGTGTTGAAGAATCCAAAAAGATTAGGATTTGAGAGAACACAGAGAATAAATGCACCGGCGCCATTGCGAACGATTTTGAGCCATGTCATTCAAGGTCTCTAACCATCGATTATTATCATCTCGCGGACCCCAACCAGGTAGTCGACAATTACCAACATGGCTCAGTCCACTAGTCAATGACTTCATGGATTTCTGCCATGTTTTGGTTTGGCCGCCTCTAACTTTCTTCCAACCTATTCCTATACTACAAAACAAGGCTCGACGAGGCAGCCGGTGGTTGGGCATACGCAACACATGTCCCAACCACCTCAACTGGTGAAGTTTCAATACTTCGTCGATTGATCTGCCATTCTTACCTAGCACCCGATTCCTAATAACAGCGTTGCTCACTCGGGTGTCCCACGATATACGAGCAATGCTTCGAAGACACCTATGATCGAAAACCATTACCCTACGAATATCTTCTACTCTCACTGGCCATGTTTCACAGCCATAAAGTAAGACGGAGCGAACTACTGCGCAGTACACTCGTCCTTTAGTCAGCAAACGGATATCTCGCCTACGCCATAAGTGACGCAGGTTGGCAAAAGCCAATCGAGCCTTCTGTATCCGTGCTGAGATTTCGTCAGTCACCAGGCCATCGGCACTGATGAGACTCCCAAGATAAGTGAAGCGGTCTACACGTTCGACTACTTCACTCCCTATCACTAGTTCAGGTGCCGATGTAACCCAGTCTTGAAGCAACATTTTGCATTTCGAGGGGGAAAATCGCAACCCGAACATGCTTGCATTGTTGCTTAGGGTAGTCAGAAGACTCTGCATTTTGTCAGCGTCTTCACCAAGTAGGACAATGTCATCGGCATATTCTAAGTCAATCAGCGAGCCACCTGGTAGAAGTTCTACTCCTGAAAATTCAGACGAGGATAATGTTATGTCTAGGAGCATGTCTATGATAAAAATAAACAAGAATGGAGAAAGTGGACACCCCTGACGGACACCACTTGATGTAGAGAATTCCGGTGACAGTTCGCCATAAGCCCTCACTCGACCAGTGGTGTTCGAGTAAAGAGCTTGTATAAGGTTAATGTACTTCTGTGGTACACCTTTCAATGACAGACACTGCCACAGAACCTTACGATCCACTGAGTCAAATGCCGCCTTAAGGTCTAGGAAAACAACTATTGTAGGACGCCTAAATGTGTGTCTATGTTCCAGGACCTGTCTGAGTGTGAAGACGTGGTCTATACAACCACGTCCAGGTCGAAAACCAGACTGGTTTTCTCGAGTCTGCTCTTCACGAGCTTTCGTTAAGCGTCGAAGTATTATTGAGGCCAGTATTTTAGATACTATATTAGTTAGACTTATTCCCCTGTGATTGTCACAAGAAGACTTTTGTCCTTTCTTAAAGATTGGGACAATCAAGGATTGAGACCAGTCAGATGGGATTACGTCCAGTTCCCAGATTCTACCTAAGATCTCAGTCAACCTAGCTGCTAAAACTGGACCACCATCCTTAAATATCTCAGGGGTCAGTCTATCAGGACCTGCAGCTCGTCCTCGTTTCAGATTTCCTAACGCTTTCTCAACGTCATCAAGACTAGGGGGACTTAGGTCGATTTGCCATTCAGGATGACTGGAGATCGTGGGTAACCGAAGAGTGGCTCGTGGCCAGTTGAACTGATCCCTAAAGTGTTCTGCCCATCGATCCAGTCTCCTGGATTGAGAATGGATAATAAGACCATCCTTTTCCGAGATAGTCTCACTCACATTCGGGTTCTTAATACCAGTTTCTTTAATAAGGCGGAAAAGTTGTCTACTGTTGCCGATCGCCGCTGCCTTTTCCATCGCTTTTGCTTTCGCCACCCACCACTGTTCGCGGTCGTTACGCAGACTTTTTATAAGTCTACGCCTAAGCTGACTACGCTCTTCATCATGCTCAGAGTCAGGTGGGATGCGTTTTCGAGCATCCATCAGTTCGGTGGATGCGACTGATATCCACGGCTTCATCCTAGCCTTATGGTTTACCTTACTAGCAGATATCACTGCTGTTTCCACAGCCTTTTTGATATCATACCAACCTGCTTCTGGATGGGAATCACTTACATCGTTGCATAACTCTCTTTCTAGTTCCTCCTGAAATATTTTCTTGGTTTGATTATCATTAAGTAAAACCCTGAGAGGCTTTCTTACGGTGTCTTTCCTACGCCCAGTAAGCCTTAAACAGATACGAGCTCGCACTAGAGCATGATCTGAATCCAAACATGTGCCCCAGAACGAGCGACAGTCTTCTATCGAACCCCTCCATCGGTGACTGATGGCGATGTGATCTAGTTGAGTCCAACGTTGAGACGACTTTGGAGGTCGCCAGGTGATGTGATTGATCTGGTTCTTTGTAGTGTGATCCGGTGAAATCCATGTGGATTTGTGTATGCGCTTATATGAGAATATGGTGCCGCCCATGACTAGTTTATTAAAGACACACAGGTTCGCAAATCTCTTACTGTTTTTGTTCCTTTCTCCTAGTCCACGTTGTCCCATGATTCTTCATATCCACTATTGTCCATTCCAAACTTGGCATTTAGTCCTCACATCAGAATAATCTAGTGCTTTGTTGGGCAGATCTTGACGTTTGACTGCAGCCTCATAGATTTGATCGTTAACGTCTTCATAGTTAGGTAGGTGCGTAGCACTCATCGGAAGACGTTCATTGTAATCCCCTCTTTTTTGTTTTGAAGTATGCTTTGATAAACCTGGGTCCATGAGATTCCCATCCTATAAGTGCCTTTTGTGCTTCTGTGGACAGCACCAGTCGGTCAGTCAGTCAGTTTCAACGTAAAACTTCGTACGTAAGTACATCAGTTCATGTCGCCATACCACATCAGCACAGAGATGTAATTGTCAATTCAAATCCAATAGTAGAAGAGGTAGTTAAGGTATTAGAGGTAATCGGAGAGGTTAGGATGGGAAGATATTATTCAAGAAGTATGATTCAATGAGAAAAGTTTAGAAAGTCAAAACTAGAGGTGTTGAAGAATCCAGAAGATTAGGATTTGAGAGAACACAAAGAATAAATGCACCGGCGCCATTGCGAACGATTTTAAGCCATGTCATTCAAGGTCTCTAACCATCGATAAATATCATCTCGCGGACTCCAACCAGGTAGTCGACAACTACCGGTTGGGGTTCGCGAGCACCATTGCAACTCCTTGTGTATGAGAGACATTTTTTCTTCATGGCCAGAGTATGATAGCGTTTCTCCAACAGCCAGTCTTTTTTGTCCAACCTGCGCTCAATGTGTTTCACTGGTTCCAAGTACCACCAGGTTCTATCTTTTCAATTCTGCAACAACCTGAGTAGTCCTTCTGGTCTCCCACAATGTACGGACATTCCATGTAATTACAATAATGTTTGCTCTGGTTGTCAGGTGCATTGGCCTCGCGACTTCCGAAGGAACTAGGCTTTCATTTTGAGTCGCCATAACTCTTCTAAATGAAGACCTTCCAACTCCAAGGGCAGAGTTCAAATGGTTTGAATTAAATTTTTCTGGTTTGCGAATTTTTAGCAAGTTTGTTTTCTACAGGATGAGGTCGCTACCGTCATGCTCAGCCCTCCCATTCTACCCTGTCTTGAGACCGTCAGTAACCCCAGAAGGGCTGCAGTCGGAGTTAATATACATAAATACTCATTTTATGTATACCCTTAGAAAATGGTTCCACTTTTCGGCCAATGAAATACACTAACCCTTTGAACATTTCTGGTTACCCTCACATGATCTCGTTCACCCACTTTTGACCGGCTCTCTATGCTAATAAGCTGAAGTAAATTTCCTATGATTTTATTAGAAAAATCTCTACAGTATAATATATTTTTCGACGGCATTGTTTGGTGCCACCATCAAGTTTCATTTAGGAGAAAAAACAGTAAGTTTTCAGAATGCAACTAGTATGAACTCGGGCGAGCATTAAGTCACATTTACTTTTATTTGACTTTCACTAATGTAAGGGACTGATTATGATATTTTGTATACAAATATATATTTGGAATGGCCTGTAAAGTCCTGCTTCCGGTTATTATCGTTGTGATATTATGTATTTCTATTGTTTGTTAAGGAATTACAACGTCTTGAATTGTCTCAAAAGAAAAAATCGGCTTCTGTGAGCTTGGGTGCTCCTTTACAACAACCTTCCAACAGAACACATCGTCCAAATAAGGAACCGTCGGTAAAAGTAAGCTAATTGTTTTAGTATCATATTGCCATTAAAATAAGAAAGTTACTTTGTATGGCACATTTTTTGGTGCCGTGTTATGCTGAATATCTTGTGTTATGAGCAAAATAGTATGTTCTGTTTGTTTTTCATTGCTTTCGGCAATTATAACTTTACTCGTTTTATAAGTTTATTCTATTTTCTAGGTTCTGTTATGTTAAATTTGTCCTTGAATAATACTAAATATTTTAACCTGTTGACTCAGATTTCTTTCTCTAATATTCTTACTACCTTGCTCCTATTCTATGGCTTGGTTTTTTCTTTTTTAAGTCATCCGAAACAAATAGTGTTAACAGGAAGAACAATGATTTTGACCTTCTCGGGCTTGACAGTGCTTCTGGTCCTGTAAATAAAAATGAACTATTTGATCAAACAAGTCATATTCAAGCGAATTTTGGAAATATACAACAGACGTCGACTTCTGTTGAACAACAGCCAGTCAGTTCACTAGCAGATATAACCCAAAATATACAAAAATCTAAAGTAAGTATTTTGTTCAGTTACCATTGTTTTATCATGAAAATCAAAACTCAACTAGATAACTATTAAATGTTTTCGTGCTATATTCCACGTGTTCATAACTTTTTTATGCAGGATACTACATCTAGCTTGTCATCTGATCTTCTGGGTTTGGACTTTGGATGCACAAACTCTTTTGATGGGAAGGTTACAAATGCAGTTAGTGATGGTCAGGTTTCTTCAGGATCCACGTCAAAAATAACCAAAGACTCAATCTTGGCTTTATACCAGCAAAGCGCGCCACAGCCAAGTGGTTTAGGTTTCACATCGTATCCTGGAACTATGGGACAGTTCCCAGCTTCTAACTTCTCAGGAAATCAATACTTTGCATGTAATCCACCAGTTGATAAATCTGTGTATAACAAAAATATAAACAATCTGGGTAAGTTTTTATTATCGTACAAATTAATGTTAAAAAAGTGATTTCAAAATCCGAAAGTTGATTATGTTAATCAGTGACAATTTTTAGTGTTATTAGTCTACCGAATGTCTAATTAGTAATAAATTCTGAATTCTTTTAATATAACTCATATATAACTCTGTTCCTTTCATATATTGTTTAATTTAATTATGCATATGACTGAATGAATGACATGATATAAAATATGTGAAA